ATATAACCACCGGAAAAGACATTTCACTGAGTGTTGAATCACCCTAAGATCTAGTAGTTCCATCTCTGGATGTCTTTGTCATTAGTATAAAGAAATATCAGAGGTAGCCAGTGCAAAGAAAAGGATTAGTAAGACAACAGTTTGGAAGCATAGGTTTTGGCTCTAGCAGGAGGCCCTTGGAAACAGAGTTAGGAACAGTTGGTGAGACAGGCAGTAAAGTGACTGAGCCTAACTGCAGCTTTTCTTTCCTCAAGTATTTATTCAAAAGGCACAGATCTTCCATTAGTTAATTCACTTCCCAAGTGGGTACAACAGCCAGAGCTGGCCCAGGCAGAAGCCAAGAACTAAGAACTCCACCCTGAGCACATTTGCGGGTGGGTGATACCCAACTGCTTGGGCCATAATCTGTTATCTTCCCAGATATATTGGCAGGAAGCCATATAGGGAGCAGAGCAGTTGGGACTAGAACTAGCTTTCCCGTGTAGGATGCTCATAGCAGACATAGCAGCTTAAGCTGATGCACCTGTGTCAGTTCCTAAAGCGGCTTTTACCACAAACCACCCTCAGTAACCGCTAGAGCTCCCACTATGTCCATCTAATAGAGGATCCCCAACTCCTTGCGGACTAAGCCTTTAACACTTGGACCTTTGGGGAGCAGTCAGTATTAAAACCATAGTAGTAATCCAAAGTAAGGGAATCAGATATTTGTGTCCTGTTCAAAGTATTCTTCACAGTAGCCTTAAGGTAGAAGTGATCCAGGTGGCCATGAGCAAACGAGTGGGTAGAAATGTGCATATGTTCAAATGCATATTTAGCCATATTATTTAGGTGGACAGTGTAATATAGATGAAGCAATTAAGACATGTTAAGCGAAAAGCCTATAGCAAAGAACACATAGGATTCCACTTCGATGTGAATCCAGGGGTGATCAAGTTCGTACAGTGTGACTGCCAAGTACAAGGGAAAAAGAAACTAAAGTTAGTGTCACTTTTGATTCCCCTGTCACTTTAGGTGGCCTGACAGATGGAGTCCACATCCTCTGGAATGACCTGGGGGAAACCTCCAGATCTCCAGTACCAATCACTGTATACTTAAATATCTGATTCCTCTCAGTCCCATTCCCCACCTACTTAGCAGTACATACTGAAGTGTTAGACGTTAGTGTACTAGACACTGCATGTCCACACATCTTATAAGGCCTTAGAGGTGACAGGAAAATACAAGAACAATTTTAGAACAGAGTGTGACAAGTGCCACAGAAATGTGGTTAAGCACGGATGAATTTTAAGGCATCAGATTTAGTGTCTGGGCTTTAGAGAAAGATTGAAAAAATGATCTAGTTTCAGGTTGAGAACTACTGGTATAAAATAGTCAAAAACAACGATCTGTATTCCTTGATCCACTGCCATACCAAGTTGTTTGGATCCTACTCAAATGTCACACTGCACCCCATAAACACATACCTAGTACTGTCAATTGGGTGGGCACTCCCATAGTGCTACTCTCCAGGTTAAGGGAAAATACAAAAGGAGGGGCCCAGCTGTCAGGTAAATATATTTGTTCACTTTATTATTGAGAATTAACTACATAAGAAATCGTCAAATAAAGTAAAACCAGACAATACCAAGAGATTCCATATTTCCCCAAATTTATGCTCTTAATCTGGGCCTCGGTTCCTTAAAAAGCATTCCAAACATTAGTGGCCATCTAGTGATGGTTTGTTTCAGTCGTAATGACTTGGAAGCCAAATTAAAGCTGCATCCATTTCCCAGAAAAGTATCCATATGTAGTAGTTGTCACAAATTTGAGTGAAGTATGGGTTTGAGTCCCAGCTGCTCTGCTGCTGGTCCAGCTAAAGCACCTGGGAAGGTGGCAGATGAGGACTTAAGTACTAGGGCCTTGCCATCCGTATGGGAGGCTTGAAAGGAATACTGGGTTCCCTGGCCTCAGCCTGGCCCAGATCTGGCTGTTCACCCATTCGGACATGGAAGTAGCAAATGGAAGAACATTTTGTTTTTCCTATTCTCACTCTGTGCCTTTCAATCCTTAAAAAACAAAAAACACAACCTATTGTAATTGCAAAACAGTATTCTTGGGAGAAAAACATTTTTTTTTAAATTATTATGTGACACAGTTTCATAGGTACTGGGATTCCCACCACCCCTCCCATAACCTTCCCCCCATGGTGGATTCCTCCACCTTGTTGTGTGACCACAGTTCAAGTTCAGTTGAGATTCCTTCATTACAAGCATATACCAAGCATAGAGTCCAGCATCTTATGTCCAGATAAGTTCAACGGCTTTTTGGGGAGACCTTCTCTGGTCTGAAGGTAGAGCCAACAGAGTAAAAATCCGATCAATCTAAAGCCCCAACATAACATCAGCAACAATATACAATGTTATGGTATTAATAAACATAGTGTTGAGTAAACAACCAATTAAAAAATAATGCAAGTTCTTAACCACATCCTGTGACTACTCCATTGACATTTCAACAATTGAGGTTCATAACAGTTATAGGAGGGGTGTAGCACAGGGTTTTGAGAAAAACATTCTTTTGCTTGCTTCATGATGACTATAAAAAAGAAATATACCTAAGTTGGTCATGTGTGGCTACTTTAAATACTTATTTGACAAAATAACTTTCCTCACATTAATATTTTTCAAGGAGATCTTTAATTTTATTAACTACAAAATATGTATAAAGATTAGTCGCTTAGTGTAACACAGCTGCTTGACCTGATTAAAACAATTCAAATCCTCAGTGCTAAGGGTCATGATTCAAGGAAGTCTCCTGAGACGAATCTTTTAATTACAATTTATACAGAAGAAAGAAATGTTTAAACACTCAAAGTTACAAGTTCATAAATAAAAAGCTACACATTCATACAGAACAACTGTTTAAGCAAGACATCTTTCCTAAATAAGACTTACAAATGAGGCAAATCTGCTACATGTGCTTTAAAAAAGGTAAATTATATTTAATGTCTAAGTATATTAACAATATTAGGTTTTGACATTTATATTGGTAGTAAACCTTTGCATTTATGCAGCTTGCTGAGAATGAAGAAGGAAAGGAGGCACAAAGTGGCATGGTTTCGTGGGACCACCTGCAGTCAGGTCTTCAGAGTCCAAAGATAGAAAGCCTCAGGTGAAATCAGAATCGATCTGCTGACCTGCTAGCCACAGCTCGAATATTGCCATAGACCTTCGATGGAGGATTTCCTGCAAAGGAAAAAAGTGAGCTGAAACACGTAAATGCCTTTCCTTGCAGAGAATATGACCTAGAAGAGAGGGTCTACAACCTGCAAAAGAACAGGGCCTTTATAAAGCTATGCCTTATAAACTGTTTCAAATCAATAAAAGAATCTCTTTACCAAATATTCTCCAAAAGTCATGTACAAATGTTTAAGAACCAAAGGTACTGATTTGTCCAAGTGTCTCCTAAGAGGCCAGTCTCATCAGGTCTGGGTACCCTGAGAAAGAACCAATTGCTTTCTGAGCTAGCTGCTATAGACCTGCAACTCTAACCACGTCTGCTGGATGGGATCGGCTGGCTCAGGTACACCAACTGCAGGCCTTCAGCACTGCCCCTTTCGTTAATCCCAAAAGGTCATGTTCCCTGCTACTCTGAGATGGCTCTCCAGTGAACCACCCTGGGAAAGTAGCAAATATTTAAACATTATTACCCAATATCCCGTTTCTGTTTTCAAGCAGAGACAAATGGAATCCAAGCAGAAATGCTACCATTCCTCCTCCTTTCCACAGGCCCACAGCTCAGGTTCTTTAACACAACTCTACTTGGCTTTACAATGTGGTTTCCGTTCCCAAATTCTCCATGCCAGAGACCACCACAGGAAACCACCCTTACCCAGAATGAGATTGCAAATGGCAGTTCTTGCCATCTTGATATTTTGGAAAGAGCCAAGAATATGAACCTTCCTGAAAGAGAGAAAATGAGAAAAGTCAGCAACACAAAGCATTTCCGTAACTCCTGTAATCTAAAAACATGATCTGATATGTTTCCTTACTTGAAGTAGGCAGGGGCAATGGCTAAAACAAAACAAAAAGCTGTAAATATACCAAAAGTTACTTTACAGAAGCACGTCTTAGGTCTGTGAATTATTCCTAATTTAAAAAAGAGAAAAAAAAGTTCTTTAAGATATAGTGGAGCTGCCAGCCATGTGTTGGCAGTGAAAATCCAGGCAAACGGAGACTAAGGTGAACTATGTCAGCCAGTGGATTCTGAATAGGTTTCATCGTGCTTGAAATGGCGAGATTGGCAGCAATTCAGAACTGTTGAATTACCAAAACCACTTGAGCAGGACCCTTGGAGCATGCCCAACATCAGGAACCTGGGATGGGTGGGAGGCTGGGTGGGGCTTCTCCCCTTCTCCCCTTTGCCCCAGATACAGAAAAAAAGTGTGGAAAAAAAACATACATAAATTAAAAAAAAAAGAAAAAGAAAAAGACTAGCTTAAAAAAAAAGATACAGTGGGGCTGGAGCAGTGGCACAGTAGCTAACCCTCTGCCTCGGGGCACTGGCATCCCTTGTGTGACTGGCTGAAGTCCTGAATGCTCTACTTCTGACCCAGCTCTGTGGCCTGCAAAAGCAGCAGAGGATGGCCCAGGTCCTGGGGCTCTGGCACGCAAGTGGAACACCCAGAAGAAGCCCACAGCTTCAGAGCAGCTGAGCTCTAGCCATGATGCCCACTGCGGAGGATGGCAGACCCCTCTGTCCTCTCAATATAAAATCTCCCTTTCAAGTAAGTAATTCTTAAGGGAAAAAAAAAGATATAGTACCATCCACTGAGTGCTTTGTATATGCTAGGGTTTTGCACACAAGATCTACTTCAATCCTCACTTGAGGTTTATTAAATGTTACTTCCATTGCACAGATGAGGAAAGGCATTTACGCACAATGTAGGAATCTGCTCAAGACCACACATTAGTAGAGCTGGTCACTGAATACCCAAAAGTGCATGTTACATTTAGTCACAGCATGCTTCATTTCAAGTTTATAGCTTCCTGGAATTATATAAATTTCTTCTTTAAAGATCACTGACCTTTTGAGTGATTATCTTCACTAATTTAGTAGAGAATTTTGCCTTTCTTTCAAAATGTTTTCACTGTGTCTTCTACAATGGCTACTATTTAAATCCTCTTTATCTCAAACCTGTTAATAATATCTTCATCTTCTTGCAAAAACTGGCTCTCAAATAAAGGCTAGTTTTTCCTTCCGTCAGCCAGGGGGGATGGGGTGTGGAGGGCAGGGGGCAGATGCCTTCCTGACTCCTTATGCCACATCTACACCACTCACAACCCTCAAAAACAGCTTCAAGTCTGCTGTCTTCACACTCTATCACCCACCAACCTGATTACCAGGCTCCACGACTGCCCGGCCGATCATTCTCAAGGACTTTGGTTCTCAGCAGGCTTTCCCTTATGACGCCCATCACAATGCCTGATGGTTTCACTATCTGAGAAGTCGATTTCCAAATCCTATACTCTCTAGCTACATCTTTTATATCGATACTGGGTCTTTTTCCTACCCAACTCCATCTTCTTACTTTCCATGGTCATATGTAGGTCTTGGTCATTACCAAAATCTAATGCCCTCCATAATTTCAGTTTGAAACACCCAACTCCACCTCTACTGTCATCTGTCGTTCAAGTCTCACCACCTAACCCACCAACAACAGGAATCCTTCAAACAGCTGTCAGTACCTCTCATCTATGAATCCTACCACCTTCACTGTCCCTCGCACCCTTGGCAGCCTGCCACCCCTTCTCTGCTCCATCCAAGAACTTCCCAGTTTATCCAGAGGAAAAGCCAACCTTAGAGCCCATGTTTTTACTGCCCCTACTGGAAAATTCCACAAGTCCACCAGGCCTGCCTGCTCTTTGCCGGGTATGCTTTCCTAATTTCCAGACACCTGGAGATGGATTTGGTACACATTCACGTGGGCTCCTTCACCCAATTCCTCTAAAATGGCCATAAAGCCATAAATCCAAGAAGGTGGCAAAAGATGAATGGGAGAGAAGCGACTTTTCAGATCCCAGTGAAGACACCTATATTGGCAGTGGAAACATCAAGAAGTAGCAGTCCAGGAAAGGGCAGGACAGACCCCAGGGCACTCCACCAGCACAAAGGGCAGCACTGCAACCTGACCCAGGATGAGGGAAGAGCGGGCAGGGCAGCTTTTGGAACAGAACACTGATGTTTCTGAGTACACCACACAGAGATACAGGTGATGGATAGCTTTTTACTGAAAATCAATTACCTAACCATCACCTTCTCAGGGGGGCAGCTAAGTTGCAAAGGAAAGATACTCTAGGAGCTCATGAATGTATCAAGCACTCATGCCTGCAGTTAGCTAACCCTGAACACCAGCTGGTCTAACAAAGGCAGCAAGGTGAGATGACTGTGGGGACGAATGATGGAAACGCCAGTGTGTGTGGTGGCGTAGGTAATGGGTGAAAGCTTCATCTTTTATGGCAGAAGTCAGCAGTGACTCTGAAAAATACAACACTGCATGCATAAGACATGTGGAATTACACCAAGAAGTCTAAAGATCAGCTGGAGTTGAAATTAGTTCCTGCAAGGAGGGTGAGACACAGGAAGGAAGCAGACACTGCCTATGTGTACCTTGAACTAAGAAAAACATCTCAACTAGCAATGGAAGATGAAGAAATGGAAGCAGCATGAAAAAAAAAAAAAAAGATAACCATAAGCTATTCTGTTACTGAAATAACCAAAGTAATGAAGCAATGGGTGGAAAGAAATACAAGCCTGAAGACACACAGGCAGCATTGTTCGCCTTCTCGTACACTGGACAGATGCGTCTGGAACAGACTGCTTTTAGTTTTGCATTCCGTTCACACCTTAATGTTACTTGCCAGGTAACCAGGAACTCATGGAACAAAAAACTTACACGTGTGTTATCATTCATTTTTTGGGGACATCAAAATTAATGGAAATTGTTAAATATACAAGTTTCCAATTAGCCTATTTACAGCAAACTACAAAACACACCTCTTACATTTCAAATAATTTCTAATTCAATTTGCAAGAAAAATACAAAAGATAAAGAAGCAGCAACATTCCTTGTAATTAACTCCGAACTGAAGAGTAATATTCAACCACTGTTGATGGATTAAAAAAAAAAATGAGGGCTGGCACTGTGGCGTAGCTAGGTAATCCTATGCCTGCAAGCACTGGCATCCCATCTGGACACCAGTTCTAGTCCCAGCTGCTCCACTTCCAATCCACCTTCCTGTTAATTGGCCTGGGAAAGCAGCCAAGGATGGCCCAGGTCCTTGAGTCCCTGCACCTGTGTGTAAGAGTTGAAAGAAACTCCTGGCTTCAGATCTGCTGAGCTCTGGCCACTGGGGAGTGAATCAGTGGATACAAAATCTCTCTCTCTGCAAAAATATGCCTTTCAAATAAAAATAAGTAATCTTTAAAAAAAACAAAACAAAAATGCAACTCTTCCATGCAGTGCTGTCAATAAAGAAATGTTGAAACACTGAAAAAAAAATGAAGATATTCAAAACACATGCTGATTAAATGAACCTACACACTCTACTTCCATTTATCTGAATTTCTAGAAAAGGCGAAATGCAGATGCCACTCCCAGAGCACACCGCACTTCCGGCTCCTCTCCTTGCAGTCCCCATATAACCACTCTGATTTCTTACCCAATGCACAGCACTCAGCTTCCTTGCAAGGAAAGGCACTGAGATGCCTCAAGGGTTTTCAGAGGTTCATGGAGACAGCATATGATGTAAAAGCTATGCATACACTTTGAAATTCTCTAAAAGCGTTTTGTAAAGAAAAGTCCCGCTGTGGCACTTTACTTAATGTTTGCTCTCCCCCATGAAGAGACACCCCCAGGATGCTACTTGAACCCTCACCTGGAATGTCACCTCTTTTATTGCCAAGTCTAAACCTTTCCCTTAGGGCTGAAGGAAAAATAGCTATAATTTGTAAAATTTTCTCAGATGCAGTGATGTGGGACATGTACTGACAAATACTGAGTGGTGACACAATGCAAAAAAAGGTAACTGCTATCACTTGTTTTAAAAACAAGTCAAAGACCAAACGCAAATGATGACAGCAATCCTCTCAAGACCAGATACTTACACATCAGCCAGTACTATCCGAGTCCGTGTCACATTCTCTATGGTGAATTTGGTTTTTCCGCCTTTGCCAGCAATCCTCCCTATTGCCCTGGACAAGTGGTCTCCCTTTAGGGGCTTAACTGAAGGAGAAAAGCCAGACATGAGGTGGCAAGTGATTCCAGTGCAGTTTCCGCCCCCTTCCCCCCCCCCAAACAATAATGCTCAGTGCCCTCTCCTGACTAAATAACACAGAATGGACACTGATTTAAGAACTGCCACCAACACAGCTCCAGTCCATGCTATCAGAGAACACCACAGGAAGCCACAACACAATCGATACCAAGTCAACACCACAAAAGAATCCCGTTGGAAAACAGGCTCACCATCGGTTATTTCAAAGGACTCCAAGAAGAGGTCATCCAGTCTGATGAGGGCCAGCGCATCCTAGAACACACACACACTGTGAAGGCCCTTCCACGTACACAACAGCACTGTGGTATAAAATTCACCAACTTCAGAACTAGAATGTTCAAATTAAAAAACAAAAAACAAAAAACAACTAATCCCCTGATGGACGTTCCCCCTGAGTGTTTCTAATCCCATGTCGGGTACCGGGACTCGCTCACCTCCACCTGAAAGCCAAGAAGAAATGCTTTCACAAAATCAGCAGCTTTGGTCAGGGAACTGACATCCTTGGTTTCTTTACAAGTCTGGACAAAGAGAGAGACACAGAGAGAACACTTTCACCTAATAGTTCATTACGTACCAAGAGCAATCACTTGTCTGATAACGTCAGCCAAGATACGCAAGTTCATTAAACCCTTGGCTTTCGGCTGAGCAGTGGGTCTAGCAGTTAAGGTATTGCCCGGCCCTGGAGTACCTGTGGGCCACGCCGGGCTGTGGCTCCCAGCCTCACACTAGCACAGACACCGGATGGTTGAAGTGACTATGTTCCCGACACCCCGAGGGGGCACACGCTCACACCCTCCAACTCTTAGCTATGGCTCAGCCGGGCCTGCTCACAGCAGGGTGGTGGGGAATGAAGCAGGGCATGGAAGCACTTGCTGTCTTACTGCTGCTTGAGGTGCCTGCACCCTGAACCGCAGGGCCAGGCTTCAAGTCCTGGTTCGGCCCTCCTTTCCAGCTGCCTAACCCACACCCTGGGAGGAAGCGGGTGACAGCCACAAGTACTTGGGGTCCCAGCCACTCACACGGCAGACCTGATTCAAGCTGCTAGACTGTGGCTTCAACCTGGCTCAGCCCTGACTGTTACAAGCATTTGAGAAGTGAATCAACAGATGGAAGATTCCCTGTGCCTTTCAAACAGATTAATAAAACATTTTCAAAACTTAAAAAATAATAATAATAAAAAAAAAACCCACTAACTTTTATCCTTTAGAGATGTTGAAAATGCAAGGTATCATCATAAAAACTTGTGGCCTGGGAAATTAATTAGGCACTGACAATGAGGACAGAGTAGAAAAAGGTGATTTTGAACACCAATGCAAGGGAAGCTTTTATAAGAGGCCTTGGCAACAAGCCACAAAAGCCTGAATCAAAACGCCAACAGCGGGGTTCTGCTGTCACGATCCTTGCTATTTCAAATTGTAGTAAGTATTTAGAGCAGTACCTCTTTTGGCTCCATCATCACAGCCATTGACAGACATGAGTCTAGCCTTGTAAAGGAAAAACCTTGACACTGGCCACCGATTCTGGCGTCCACACAAACCTAGCCCACTGTGACAATGACTGCCTCTTCAACAGCACAGAAAATCTAGCGGATTGGGACATGCCCGGCGTGCTTACTCTAATCTCCACATTCCTTGATTTCAAGTTAAAGCGAATCTGCAGTCCCAAATGTTCCACAATAGGAGTAAATATCTTCATCCAGTTTTCTTTCAGTGGAGTATATCTGTTAGCTGGGACTGGGATTTTCCTCATTTCTTCTTTCCCACTCTGTAAAAAAAATATATATACAAGTGAGGAGACCTAGGGGAGCGGGGCGAGTGGCGGAGCTGTGAAGTGACAGCTCCCTTGATCTGAACAAGTTCAACACGGTCACCGCCCTAAGAGCCTCACGGCAAGGACGCAGACCCCCCGCTCCCCCAGACCCAGGCCACCGGCTGCATCCATCTCCCCCGGAGCCCGTACCAGGAGCCCGTCCCCGGACAGCGGCGGGAAGACCGGCCTCTTGGCCGGCCGGCCCTCCTCGGTGTCCATGCGGCCTCCATCGCCGCCCTCCCCCGGTGCGGACAGCTGCTCAGCCTGCCGTTTCTTCGCGCGCCGGCCGCCCTTGCGAGTGACTTGAGTGAAGCCATCTTCGGCCCCAGGGGCCTGCGCCTCCATCTCGGTTTCCATCGCCGGGAACCTGCAGCCCCCAAAGCGCCAACACGTGCACGGTGACACTGCGCAGGCGCACCGCGCAGCCGCCAGACCCCGCCAATCAAGCTCGGGGATCCGCCCCGTTTCCTGAGAAGTCCCACGCCGGGGACCTGAACCAGGAAGTGCGAGGGCCCTTGCGGGCAGTCTGTACATATGCCTGACTTGACGGACGCTCTTCGCCCGAGCAGCTCTCAGCCAAAGTACTTGAAAATCCCAAATGTGTGTGTGTATGCGAAATGCAGGGGGCCAGGGCTATAATCAGATTCTCACTATCTGTAAGGAAACGTCTTGTGCCATCTCAGGATCCCCTCTGGCATGTCGGAGATAACTAACTCCAACTCGAAGGCGCGTCCTGGGGACGAGTACGGCGGGCGGGCGGGTCAAACTTGCTTAGTGTTTGGTTTCCAGGCTGGTGTGTTTAGGGTAGCGGGAGGAGACACCGGCTGGACCATGTCGGCCTTCGAGAAACCTCAGATCATCGCCCATATCCAGAAAAGCCTCAACTACACGGTGTTTGACTGTAAGTGGGTGCCCTGCAGCGCCAAGTTCGTGACCATGGGCAACTTCGCGCGGGGCACCGGCGTCATTCAGCTGTACGAGATCCAGCATGGGGACCTGAAGCTGCTCCGGGAGGTGGGTGCCGGGTCGTAGTGACCCAGGGCCAGGCTCTGCGCGCTTCTCTCTGCCGCAGCCCTCGTCATGGCCCCAGCTTCGTGGGATCCTCTGTAAAATGGGCTCTCCAGTCTTGAATTCTCAGATGTGGGCTGCTTTGTGGCACCCGGCTCATTCCCTTCCCCTAACGCCGGGTCCCTAGGAAGTGTCGGGTCTGAAGGCTGGGGCCTCTGGACTCTGTTGGTGCACTCATGCTACAAAGTGCTTTTTCATGCAAGTCGACCCAAAACAGGCGCCTGAATGCCTGTAAAAGTAATTGGACAACTTATCACAGTGACCCACTGGACAGATGTCTGTTGAGGGTCTGTCATACCCTGACGTGTACCCTAACATGTTAAACAATCAAACCGTCGACGATGCCTTAATACAAACAGAAATCAGACTAACACAAAGGAACACGCCTCTCTGCGAACAAATGTGACACGAGTACAAACTTACCAGGGCAAACTACTGCTGGAAAGCAGATTTCCTCAGGAAACCTTGCATGCAAGGTCGATGATTGGACCAGGGCTACCACCCCTTAGCAAATGCCATCTCGAGAAGAGCCTGAGAGTGACAAACTGCGTAAAGATGACAAATGAACAAATTAGAAGATAATGATCGCAGCTTGGTTTTTTTTTTTTTTAATTTGAAAATCAGGCCTATTCATAGAGAGAGCATGTGCTTTTCCATCCACTTGTTCACTTCTCAAATGGCCAGAAGAGCTAGGGCTGGGCCAGGCTGAAATCAGGAACCTAGAACTTCTTCAGGGTCTCCCAAATAGCTGCAGGGCCCAAGCATCAGGCCATTTTGCGCTGTTTTTCCAGGCTTATTAGTCAGAAATGGAGCAACCAAGCTACAGCTAGTGTTTTCATACCTCTGTAAAGCTGTTGAAATGTCTTGATTTGAGTCGTCTAGGGGGAAAAAGCAGTTGTATTCAGCAGGTTAGGTTTGTGTTGGCCTGAGAGTGCAGTCAAGGTTGGGAGTGACAGGGACCAGAGCTGTGGAGAGAATCAACTTGAAGGAATAAAGGAGTAACCTGACAGGGAAAGGAAGAGGGCAGAGGGGTACTCGGGGTCCTGGGAGAGGCTGGTGAGGCCCACCTCCCACTTTACATTTCCCTGAGTGCTTATTTGTTTTTTGTTTTTTTTTATTCTTATTGGAAAGGCAGATTTGTAGAGAGAAGGAGAGACAGAGAGAAAGGTCTTCCATCCACTGGTTCACTCACCAAGTGGCTACAACGCCAAAGCTGAGCTGATTAGGAGCCAGGAGCTTCTTTCCAGTCTCCCATGGGAGTACAGGGTCCCAAGGCTTTGGGCCATCCTCTGCTTCTTTCCCAGGCCACAAGCAGGGAGCTGAATGGAAAGTGTAGCAACAGGACACAAACTGGCTCACAAATGGGACCCCGGGGGTGGGGGGGCATGTAAGGCAAGGGTTAAACCGCTGAGCCATCACATCTGCCCCTGAAGTGCCTGTTTCCATGTTCCCTTTGTAGCCAAGCTGTCTACTGAATGTATCTTACCATGGTTGGCTCTTTTCTGCCTTTTCTTGTGTTATTCATCACTTAAAATCACAGTCCTCTTTGGCTCTCTAACATCCAGCTCCGGTTATCTGATTGTGAAATCCTTGATCTCCACGCACCACAGCTTTGCTTTACATTGCATTCTATAGGACTTTGTCTCTACGCCAGAAATATACATCCTGTCTCATTTTTTACTAACCAGGTTCTAAGCTCCTGGAAAGGAAGGACAGTACCTCTCTTTCATGTGGTTAGGATCAGCCACTCAGTGAGTTAGTGAATGAAGGAATGAATGTATACTTATAAGTAGCATATAACCTGGGAAATATACATGTTGGTTTACTGATCACTAGTCAAGTCGGTGTTGGCAACTTGAGCAGATCCAAAATACTGTGATGACAAAGGAACTCAGAGGTAACCAAACAGCATCTATATATGATTTATATACAATTCAGGATGCATTTATTCCATTGAGTGAATTGGTGTTGGTTGTCCCTGCTGGAGAGAATGGAGATGTCTAGGAAAAATGTGGGTGTTTGTTTCAGCAAAAGTAATATGTGTTCATGATGGAACATTTAGAAATTACAGTTAGGAGGGGCTGGAACAGAGGCTGAACAGACTAATCCTCCACCTGCAAGTGCTGGCATTCTATATGGACATTGGTTTATGTCCTGGCTGCTGTCCTTCACATCCAGCTCCCTGCCAGTAGCCTGGGAGAACAGTAGAGAAAGGTCCAAGTCCTTGGGACCCTGCTACTGTGTGGGAGACCTGAAAGAGGCTTCTGGTTTTAAGCTTTGGACCAACTCAGCTCTGGCCATTGTAGCCATTTGTGGAATGAACCATTGGATGAAAGACCTTTCTCTCTATCTACATCTCTCTGTAGATCTCCCTTTTAAGTAAAAATAAAATAAATCTTAAAGGGCCCGGCACAGTAGCCTAGTGGCTAAAGTCCTCGTTTTGCATGCTCCAGTTCTAGTCCCAGCGGCCCTGCTTCCCATTCAGTTGCCTGCCTGTGGCCTGGGAAAATAGTCAAGGACAGCCCAATGCCTTGAGACCTTGTACCCGCTTGGGAGACGCAGAAGAAGCTCCTGGCTCCTGGCTTCAGAACGGCTCAGCTCTGGCCGTTGGAGGCCTCTTGGGGAGTGAATCAATGGATGGAAGATCTTCCTCTCTGTGTATCTGACCTTCCAATAAAAATAAATAAATCTTTTTAAAAAAGAAAGAAAACAAAGATAGGAAAAAATACCACTCAAAATCTCAGTGCCAGGAACCTCTCGTTTTTATTTTCATCTGGATTCTTTGTGCCTTCTTTTTTCCATAGTATAAGCTATGGAGAAGGTAGTATGCTTAAAAAATATATATTTGAAGGATAAGTCCCTTGTAAGTGCCTGTTGTCAAAAAGATGATAAAATAGGAGGCCCATTGCAATAGCTTAGAAGCAAAATCCTAGCCTTGCATGTATCCCAGCCTTGTTTCAGATCCCAGCTGCTCCACTTCCCATCCAGCTACCTGCTTAAGGCCTGGAAAAGCAGTAGAGGATAGCCCAAAGCTTTGTACCCTGCACCTATGTGGGAGACCAGGAAAGGCTCCTGGCTTTAGGTTGGCTCAGCTTTGGCCTGTTGCGGCCTCTTGGTGAGTGAACTAGCAGATGAAAGATCTTTCTCTCTCCTTCTCTCTGTCAGTCTGCTTTTCTAACAAAAATAAAACAAATCTTTAAAAAAATAAAAGATGATGAAAAAGGCCAAACTACTTGCAAGAACTTACACTGCATCTGGCTGTGGTGATGCACTGGAAAGAATAGAAGTAAAATACAGATTCAGTGAATGTCACCTTTTGCTGGGCAGCAGGATCACGTGAAGGTCTTTTATTGTTGTTGGGTGTGCGTCTTTTCAGAGATCCCGGCTTGCTACCACCCTAGGAACTCGGTCACAGTGGACTGTGGTATGTCTAGACTGGAGTACGGCCTAGACAGCAATGATGCTTTAAACTTGTGCCAAGTGACTCTGATGATACAAGGTTGAGAGCCATTGGGTTAGGTGGATTACTTACTAAGATATTAGACAGCTCACCTGGTTAACTGCTGAACAGTCCTACTAAGTTGTTAGCTTCCAAGCTCTTACCTCTGAAATGAGTGAAGAGAGCAAACCGTTGTTTATTGATGACTTCCACGTGGCCATATTAAAAAGACAGATGGAGTATAAAGGAGAGGGGCTCCACACACCCTTGAGTAGTTTGTTGCGCTGTGCAAGGGTGTCTGGCCAGGTGCTTGGGAGCTGAAATCCACCTCTGTTTCATCAAACGTTTTGTGTGTATGCAACTTGACCCTCGCAGGGCAGCTTTATGATGATGGGTATGATTATTTTTCTATTTGGCACAAAGGATATGGACTAGAATGATCCTGAAAAATGTTAGCATGCTTGTGGATGTTTTGACTATGGAAATTATTGATAAGAGAATAAACTTCTGCTTTTTTAGCCCCTGTGCAACGAATCTACTGCTTGTTAGCATTTGGTTGACTAAACCCTTTAGTGTTAATTATGTAGTGCCAGGATGTGGAGGAGGAAACTACTGACAAGCTGTACTAGACCCACCCACAGAGAGAACAAAAATAATTCTCCTGGGAATTATCAATCATGGGCTTCTTTAATCATGTGAACTTGTTCTTGTCGCAAAGGAAATCAACGACGAGGTCAAATGCGACCATCACTGATGGTCATTTTCAGAATCATAAAGCACAAATAGCTACTGTGTCCTCATTTTCTTTCTAGAACAATTTTTGTAAAATTGAAATCTGTTTTCTAGTAATTCTAAGTTGCTGCTGAATTCCTTTTTATCTTTTCTATATGTAAAATATTGAACAGGGCAGAGAGAGGTCCCTCTTGGGAACAATAAAAAGTTAACTTCATTAGTATCTATTCTTTTAGGCAGTGTAGTGGTGTTCGTGAATGGCTGAGGAGAGAGAACAGGGGCCACCTTCTGTAAGGCCACTGGCCAGTGCAGCTCCCTCTTCTAAGTCAGCAGTACTCCTTTCTGTCAGCAGTCGTAAGGTGTTGCAGGTTTACACACTCTGAGTTTAATTTAACTCCTGCACAATAGACCTCTGGATTCTATAAATCTCTTCATGTTCCTTTAATACAAGAGAGAAAAGCGTAGATGAAGGAAGTGTGGTACTGTATGTTTGTATCTGGTAAAGACATGAATGTAGACTCAATGACGTGTCTGTTCAACAGATGTCAAACAGAAGCAACTTATTAGGTCAAGGCCCTGCCTTCATGGTGCTCAAATTCCAGAAAGGGGTCAATTGACTAACCCTCTGCGAGCAAGCACAGGCATCCTGCATGGGTGCTAGTCAGTGTCCTGGCTGCTCCTCTTCCCATCCAGCTTGTGGCCTGGGAAAGCAGTCCAGGATGGCCAAAGCCTTGGGATCCTGCACCCATGTGGAAGACCCAGAAGCAGCTCCTGCCTCCTGACTTTGGATTGGCTCAGTTCTGGCCGTTTTCGCCATTTGGGGAGTGTATCAGTGGATGAGAAATCTCACTCTCTGACTCTTCTTTTTAAAATCTGCCTTTCCAATAAAAATAAGTAAAATTTTAAAAATAAGTTTTAGTAAGTACACTAAGGAAGATTAAAGATTGTGATACTGATTGCATCCAATAATAGGGAAACATCTCTGATATTTGAAAGAGAAAATGGGGACTGAAGGAAAGAGTGTCTAAACAGTTGGGACAGCAAATGCCAATGCTGGGAGGTGAAAATGACCCTGGTATGAAGGGCAAAGGGGCAGCTGGAGTGTAGCAGAAGGGAAAAAGCAAGAAACGGAGCCAGCTTGGTAGAGCTTTGTGCACCGGGCTAGTCCACAGGCCTTAGTGCCACTCCAGTGCGTGTGTGCCTCTGCTTCCCTTCCGTTGTAAGAAGACCCCTTTTAGAATTATGCAGTGATCAGTGTTGAAATGACTGATGGAAGTCCACCAGCAAATAGACCGGGTCTCAGCTTGCTTTGTTCCTTGCCAGTCAGCAATCTTTCCACGTGTGCACGTGTCCAAGAATCTGCTCATATTAGTGCTCTTTTGGAAATACCAGGGCATTGCGGAAGTCCAGCCCTGCCCAAGGATGAGTTTTTTTAGCAGAAAAATCTAACTCTGCATATTCAGGTCTTTATATCACAACTTGTTTTGAAATTCTTATTTCTAAGTTTTCTTATTGATGTTCTTTTGCATTTTTTAGTTATCCTATAAATTTATTTGGAAGTGAAAGATTTTCCATCCACTGCTTCCCCAAATGACCAGGACCTGGCCCAGGCTGAAGCAAGGATCCTGAAGCTTCTTACAGGATCCCAGGGTTTGGGCCATCCTCTACTGCTTCCCCAGGCCACAAACAGGGAGCTGGATGGGAAGCAGTTGGGACATGAACCAGCATCCATATTGGATACTGGCACTACAGGCCGTGTCTCTATCTACCACAGCATAACATTGGCCCTATCTTATTAACTTGCTAACAGACAAGCTAAATTTTTATTTAAAGAAAACTGTAAAAATTGAGAAAGCACCCATCTCCTTTGCTTGGTCTCCTTAAACCCTGTATTTTAGATAGGACATTGGTGTGTGGTTGTTTTACTAGTGTGATTATTTAGAAGACGGGCTAACCTGTGTTTTGTTCTGTATTGTAATTCAGGTAGGTTTGAAATCTTACTGGAAAGGGCGCAGACTTAGTGGACATTAACATCTTCAGTTTGTAGAGTACTGCAGGGGGAGCTGTGAGACACACAAGCTGCTTAGCTTCCATAGCAATCTGGAAGGAATACAACTTCCTTAAGATCACCTTTCCACTGCAGTCTGTGCCCACCATCACCTTCAGCATTGGAACCTCGCGGCTCCTGACTCCGGCCTGGCCTGGCCCCAGCTAGCCACTGTGGCCATCTGCAGAGTGACCTAGCAGATGGAAAATCCTCCCCGTCTATCCCTTTCTCTGCAACTCTGCCTTTCAAATAATATCTTCTTAAAAATGTTGAAAAGTTCATATTCACAAGCCAATGGCGACGGTAGAGGTGTCAGCGTTTGAATGTCTCATCTGTGAATTGAGAGGAAAGACAGAGCTCTCTTTGACAGTTACATACTTTGAAACAGAAGAAAAATGAAAGGGAAAGTCATGATCATTTTTGTTTTTCATCGCCTTTTAGATTCTGTGTCTTATTTAAGACCTGTCACTGAGCCATTAATATTGTGAATTATAAGTAACTGCTTATATAATTAATGCATCATCTCTTTCGTCCTTATATCAAGATTGAGAAGGCCAAACCCATTAAATGTGGAACATTTGGTGCAGCATCTTTACAGCAGAGACATTTAGCAACCGGAGACTTTGGAGGGAACCTTCATGTATGGTAAGGTAATTTCATCAGTATTTGGAGAGATCAGATGAATCATTGATCAATGTCTCATGTTAAAATATGTCTGTAATATACAAACATGTATATACACAAACATATAAGAAAAACACTGCCTTATTTTTCTTACATTATTAATATTTATATGTGCTCCTTGGTGCTAACATTCAATGCTCTGATTTACCAATGAAGGCTTAGTGTCTATCTTTAGGATACATTATACAAAAATCACATGTATAGCATGGAAAAATTAGATATTACATTTCAACTAAAAGATTTGGCAGAAAGGATGATTGGTTTTCTTTTTTTTAAGATTTATTTATTTTTATTAGAAAGTCAAATATACAGAGAGATGGAGCGACAGAGAGGAAGATCTGTCTGTTGATTCACTCCACAAGTGGCTACAACAGCCAGAACTGAGCCTCCTCCAGGTCTCCCACACGGGTACAGGGTCCCAAGGCTTTGGGCCGTGCTCGACTGCCTTTCCAGGCCACAATCAGGGAACTAGATGGGAATCAGGGCCTCTGGGATTAAAACTGGTGCCCATATGGGAGACTGGCACGTTCAAGGCAAGGACATGAGCCACTAGGCTACTGCACCAGGCCCTCTTTTGTTTACTTTTAATGTATAACTCACAATTCATGTTGAAGTTTGCTTTTTTAATGTTTTGATAACATCTGAGCACAACATTTTTATAAACACATGTAGAAGCAAATTGACATAAACCTCTTTTGGACCAGAAGAGTCTGTGCCAAATGTCTTTAATTTTTATGTCTTACATAAGAGTTGCTTATTTTTTAAATTTGAGTGAATTAAATGCTCTGCTTGCTTTTCCTGGAAATGTATTATTTTAATCATTTAAAGCATATAATAATGTTCTAGAGAGAATTCATCTTCCTTACATCATAGTTTGTACCAAGACCTCATCATTCTCACAGTGTGCTGCTTTATAAATGAATGATTTTGATGTATTAATTTATCTGAAAATCATAAACCAGAATGCAGCTATTTCAGTTCCCCCTTGCTTTAACTGCTTAACAATTAAATTAGCACGTGTCAGTTTATATTTGTTCATGTTGTGTCATATGTCATATGCTTTGAGACACATTGAGAGGCCAGTCTGAATGTTATTTTTAGACGTAAACATATTTGAACAAAAGAATATGGGAAAAATGTAATGGTTGACAATCTTCATGATAGAGTTTCCCACTGTAGGACAGGTGTTGGCAACTTTTTTTCATTGATGATTCTTACAGTCTCGTATTTACAAAAAGTCATGTCTGAAAAGGAATGGTAAAATAGTTATTTTAGGTAGGACCGGAATCCTTTGTAGTCTCTGGACTCTTCCATTAAAAAACTAAGTGCTATAACGCCTCTATCTCAGAATGTCCCAAAGATGATGTGGCAAAGATAAGCATCACCTTGACACTACGTCAAAGTATCAACAACTTTTGATTAGTCATATTTTACTAATAAATCATGGCTAAGTGAATAAGTTGGGATTACATTTCATAAGAAATTACACTCTTCATTGACCCACGTGTATGTTTTAGAATTCAGCTGATGGGAAGTATGTGTAGAAAATCCCATAGAAAATTGAAAGGAGGGGACGGAAAGATGAAAGGGAGGCGTGAGTGCAGCCTGGCTGAGGTGCTCGGCACCGACCCTGCAGGGGGATGCGGGCCCATGGGGCGGACGCCTCCCTGCGCACCGTCCCGTGGCCCCGTCCTCTGGCCCCCCCGGAAGCTGACAGCTCCAGCAGGCCTGCTCGTGTGTGTATTATGACCAGCATGATGAGACATTCAAAACCATACTGTGTCACGGTGAGAAAGTCAAGGTGAAGGGGGAATGTGTGCTATGGAAAAGACCCGTGTCCTTCAAATGAGGCTCACGAGCCAACCACCAGGGCCTGCTCTGGAAACAGCCTCAGTTGCTTACGATTCACTCGACGCAGCAATTACCCGACTTCAGTGAGCCAGCTCGTCGGCAGCTTGGAGACCATGCCAGAAATCCCGAATCAGTGTGTCTACAGGCCCGTGAATCTGCATTTATTAACACCCAGTTCCTTCCTGAGGATCACTGAAATGAGCTCAGGGCAAGTTCCAAGGTGAATGCTGACAGTCCTCCCTGTGCACCTAAAAGAAATCTACATGGAAAGAAAGATTTAGAAGTGTAGAAGTTGTCTTGATGGCAAAAACCTTTGTTTTTCAAGCAAAAATCCAGTCTGGTGTGTGTTCTTACATTGTTCTTAGTGGAATTAAAAGTTGGTGTAAGAAGCTGTGTGTGTTGTTTAGGAACCTGGAAGCGCCAGAAGTGCCAGTGTACGCTGTGAAGGGCCATAAAGAAATCATCAACGCCATTGACGGCATAGGTGGCCTGGGAGTCGGGGAAGGAGCCCCTGAAATTGTGACCGGCAGTCGAGACGGTGAGTGCACGTAGTCTGTGAGGGACCCGTCTCTAGGCAGCATCCTGTCTGCATGGAAGTGCCCTCCAGTCTCCTTGAACCCCACTGCAGCAGCTAACAGCGTTACCTCTGTTCTTTCGGGAGTCAGCTGCGGTGGCATATTCCTCAATGGTTTCAGACTTTGGGACATTTTGAGATAGAGGCGTTATAGCACTTAGTATTTTAGTATTGAGTTCCCTCAGCTACTAACAATGGTAGTTTCCTCCAAATCTTGAAGGATTTAAAATGTCCCTGCAGGTTTTTGAGGCAGCTGACGCTATGATGTGGGTGGCAAGCTTTTCATTTTCCTTTTTTAAAAAGCAGAATTAGTACTTGTGAAAAATTGTCATATTGACAGCTGGTTGGAACCCGAGGCTCTGTGCTCCCTGCACTGAGCTGCGCGTGGTGGAGCACTCCCAGGGCGCCCCTGGGCTTTTCCACCCTGCTGTGACCTGCAAGAGCCAGAACCCGTGGTGTACTCTTCTGTTGGAATGCCTGCAGCCGAATCCCAACTCTTGGGGTGCATGAAGGATGTGTGTGAGCTTGGGAACCTTGGTTGGGCTTGTTTTTTAATAAAACTATTCAAAACCATGAGAAAATCATTTTGAAGATAGTGTTTCTTTAATAGTGCGTCAACAGCACCTCTGTTTTAGAAATCAATTGTTCGCCCAATCATAAAAGCAATATGGAACATAGAAGGCAAACTAACATTGAATTTGTCACACTGCCGCAACCATTGGATTTTCAGTTGCCTTTTTAGTTTTATATGAGATTCTTCATAGTTAGTAGGAATATGATTTTGTATCTTTCTTCATTTAATGATTGTCATGTATAAATATTACTGTCTCCTGTTTTCAAAATTATTTTAAGTACTGTGATGTTCCATTATATGAGTTATCACAGTACACTTAACCACACCTGTGTAGTTCTGCATTTTTTTGAAAGATTTATTTCTATTGGAAAGGCAGATTTACAGAGAGGAGAGATAGAAAGATCTTCAGTCCACTAGTTCACTCCCCAACTGGCTGCAACATCCAGAGCTGAACCAATCCAAAGCCAGGAACCTGGATCCTCTTCTGTGTATCCCACGCGGGTGCAGGGTCCCAAGGTTTTGGGCTATCCTTTACTGCTTTCTCAGGCTGCAGACAGGGAGCTGAATGAGAAGTGGAGCAGCTAGGACATGAACTGGTACCCATGTGGGATCCTGTGCATGCAAGGCGAGAATTTAGCCACTAGGCTATTGTGCCAGGCACTAACATTTTTTTTTTTTTAAGCATTTATTTATTTTATTTGAAAGACTTACAGAGAGAGGAGAGAGAGATATCTTTCTATCTGCTGGTTCACTCCCCAAATGGTGCAGTGGCTGGAGCAGGGCCTGTTTGAAGCCAGAAGCCTGGAGTTTCATCAGGACCTCCTACATGGGTATAAGGGCCCACGGACTGGGTCATCTTTCATTGTTTCCTCAGGCACATTATCAGGGGGCAGAGTCAGAAGTAGAGCAGCTGGGCCTTAAACAGGCACCTGTGTGGGATGCTGGCACTGCAGGTTGAGGTTTAAACTGCTGTGCGATGGCATCGGCCCCAATCATGTCCCTGTTAATAAGCATGCTCACCAGTGGGAGCTGCAGCCCATCAGAGAGGTGCCCACGGTTTCCCTAACAGGCCCACTCCAGTCCCAGATCTTACATTCTCCAGGTGGTTCCGTAGTCTTGCCTGACAGGAGTTCTCCCATGTCCCAGCATTTGCCAGCTGAAACAAAGCAGCTCTTTTTAAGGACCAAATTTATTTTATCCTTGGGGATATCTAGTGGATTATCTCAACTTTTCCTGAATTTGTCTCATTGTTTTAAGGACTTTCTTTTTCCCTTTTCCTTTTATGTCTCAGGTGTTTGCCTTTGAGTCATTTTATTACATGCTTTGCATTTCTTGTAGGTAATAACACGACTTAGCTAATGGAAATTAACACAAGGGGATTGAAATTGCATTGAGAATTATTTAATTTTATTTAACATTGCTCTCTTCACTATTGCCATAATCCTCTATTACTAAATCCTCACATAGGAATCGTAGAGGAGAAATTAGAATATGTTCATTTGTGTAAGAAAAATGTTGGGATCAGCATTGTGGCATAGTGAGCTAAGTTGCCTTCTGTGGTTCTAACGTCCCACATGAGAAGCTGCTCTGCTTCTGATCCAGCTTTCTCCCCAAGGCCTGGGAAAGCAGTGGAGGGTGGCCTTTGGGCCCCTTCCACCCCATAGGGAGATTTGGACTGATATCCTGGTTCCTGAGTTTGACCTGGCAAGATTATCTGTCTCTCCATCCTTCTCTCTGTCTCCTGTTCCCCTGCAAATATTTTTAAAAGAAAAACTTTTTAATGTCAATGATTATATAGGTAATAAGGAAAAAAAATTTTTAATGATACCATTATAAATCTAAATATATATATAAATGTATTAGTTTTACATGCAAAAGAAAATAGGGCATGATTTGAATTACATGACATTTATGTTTGCCTGCTCAATGACTTGTAGATAATTTAGGAACAGTTGTTGCTTTTCTGTATACCCATTAACTTTGACATCAAGTTAAACAGTAACATGGGTTATATCTCTCATATCAAGTGCTTTAATACAGAATCATAAAAATGAGGCCATTTTTCAGACACCTTAACCTCTGTACTATTGCCATGCACACAGCCAGCAGTAGGAAGAGAATACAGAAATGAAATGTGGTCATGCCCTGTTGGATTTTGCCATCTTACTTTTATCCATGACAGGAACTGTGAAGGTGTGGGACCCAAGGCAAAAAGATGACCCTGTGGCCAATATGGAGCCGGTTCAAGGAGAAAATAAGAGAGACTGCTGGACTGTAGCATTTGGTAAGTTATTACACACCTCTTGCCCTTTAAGGATCAACTGATCAAATGTCCATTGTTTCAAAATATTCCTGACATTCTCTGGGTAGACTGTTCTATGAATTCTTTTAAATGACAAAAAGATTATTTTTTTTTTTATTTGAAAGAGACCTAGTCTTGCCTGGTGTAGCAAGGAGTGATGCCCCAGGGCTTGTTTTGTGGGCCACTCTGGGAGTATGAGGAAGCAAACATGTGATGTGGTTTTGCTGTCAGACTCTGCTGCTTGCTGAACATGCAGCCTGAAGCAAGATACAGACCTCACTTGTTCTCATTTACAGCATGGAACTCATAATAGGAGAGACAGAGAGAGCTGTTCAGTTTGCTGATTCTCTGGCTGGCCTGGGCTGTGCTGAAGCTAGAGCCTGGAAGTTCACCTGCGTCTCCCACACGGGTAGCAGCGACCCGAGCACCTCAGCCATCCTCTGCTGACCTCTGAATTACATGTTATACAGATGTGTTTTTTAGAACATAATTATTCCATTGTAAAATTATACCTTGTAATTTTGGTAGTTGTGTTCCTCTATTAATATGCCTAATATTGATTGATAGGGCTAAAATTGATACCCTTGAAATTCACCAAGATTAAATTACTCTCTGCTGCTATAGGGTGTGGACCATAGAATTTTCTATCCTCTTTTTTTAGCTTTATCCTATCTTACATAAATGACAGTCATTAAGTACAGTGTCTAATCAGAACTATTTTTAACTTTTTAATGTTGATATTGGGCTGTGGTTGAAGGTTTAATAGGAAAAAAGTTTTTATTTCCCTTTTTTTTAATTATTTTTACTGGGAAGTCAGATTTACAGAGAGAAGGAGAAATGGAGAAACAGAAAAATATCTTATTTCCAGTTTTTAAAATAAACTATTATATGGGAATTACCTTGTCACCATAGGCTGTGAGCAGTATAAACTTAAAATATATATACAGTTTGGGGAGAAATTTCAGGATCATTATTTAGCACAACGATTTTAACTGGTGTCATAATTAAAAAGTAATTATCTTTGGATCTGTTAAAGCCTTTCATAATTGATCTCAGGAATATAAGTATAATTTGAACTATAGGATGTTAAATTTTTGAGGAGCCCATTGATAGAACAATTTTTTTTTAATGAATGCCAATTATGTACAAAGGAATATGGGCGTACAAAAGTGTACTTCAGCCTTGGGAGGCTTACAGTTTAGAAAAGAGCATGATATATACATGCAGTGCAGTAAGAGAGTGATGAAAGGTAGAAGGAATCCAGAGGGAGAGGGGCAGGGCAGGAAGACCATATGGAGGTCAGAGCAAAGATCCACAGGGTTTCAGCCACTGCAGAGGGGCTCAAGAATGGAGGTAGAAGGAAATGGAGGGAGAAGAGCCTTCGAGGTGGTGCAGGGCCCACCCAGGGTCATTTGAATGTCCCTGAGATAGCTGCGAGCTTGCCCAGGTTTTTGCATAAATGAGATGTGAGCTAAGCTTTAGGAAAATTAGCTGGTGATATGTAGGCGATGAGATAAGAGTTCAGCACCCTTTGCAGTATTCCAAGTGAGACTCAGGTTAGAAGCAGCTTCAGAAGATAATATCCATGTGATGGCAGTTAACTGAGATGGGACTTTCTCTTTCATTGATACAAGGAACAATGGAAAGTTTGTCCAAGATGACTGAATGTTGAATGTTGTCATGGGGTGAATGATGTTACTAGTTGATGTTAGTGAGATCCTTGGCAGGAGGAGAAGGAAAGATGGGGAGGCCAGATTGGAGTGTCAGTATAAGACGCTGGAGTACCAGATAGGGCAGCTCACTGTGTAAATTCCGGGATGGAGTTTCTGAGAAGGAAGTTGGGGGAGGCAGTGGAGAAAGAAGGCAGTAGGTAGGATGCTCAGATGGCCTTGCGCAGGGATAAGGACCTTCCTTTCACTTAACACTTTTTCCTCGTCAAGAGGAACTCAGAGACCAAAACTCTAGGATTGGTCTAGGATGCTGGGATGATGAAATTAGGTATTATCCACACACTGAGAAATGTCACAGCATGCTCATCTTCTCTCAGATCTCCTCACAGAAACAGGGTAACACCAGAGTAACATTTTGCAAAGTTAAAGTAGTTTCTGCTTACATCCAAATATAGTGACTGTAATTAGAAACGTAGAAAGAAAGTAATTAGAAACATAGCTGTGTCTAGTGTCCCACACCCCACTCGTTTGCATTTTGTAAGGACATTTCAGAAGTCCATGAAAAAAATGGAATTAGGGGTGAGTGTTGTACAGTGGGTTAAGCCTCTGTTTGGGACACTTACATCCCATGTTGAAGTGTCTGAAATTCAGTCCTGCCTCCACTTCTGATCCAGCTTCCTGCTAATGCGCCTGGAAGTACCACATAATGGCCCAAATGTTTGGGTTCTTGCTATTCCCTACGGGAAACCTGCATGGGGTTCCAGGTTCCAGGCTTCAGCCTGACCCAGCCCCAGCCTGTGCATACATTTAGCAAATGTAGTTGCAAGATCAGTTTCTTCTCTTGTGTGTGTCTCTCATTCTCCTTTCAAATAAATGCATAAATACAACCCTTTTTTATTAAAAAAAAAATAACTTGATTTTGGTACAAAAACTTTTCAAACCCATGCATAGTTTTTTCAAAATATGTCTGTTTCTTGAACTTTTTGGAAGCTCCCCTCATGGCTGAGCTTCTAGTCTTGTGCTCATATAGTGTATGGAGAACATTTTCTTTCAGCTTTAGAATCCATTAAATACTTCCACATATCTCACATATCTCTTCAGTGGAGAATTTCAATGACTGACTATTTACCCGCCCCCCCCCCAAAAAAAACCCAACCCTATTAGATATCAAGTTAGTAGTCTTGTTTTTCTGCAAGTTTTACACATAGTTTCATAGCACTTTTTTTTCCTGCCTTTAAGTTAACATTATTAAAGATCTGAAATGTTGTATCTTGATTTCTAGGCAATGCTTATAATCAGGAGGAACGTGTGGTTTGCGCTGGCTATGACAATGGGGATATCAAACTCTTTGATCTCAGAAATATGTCTCTGAGGTGGGAGACGAACATCAAAAATGGGGTAACCACATTTTTTGCTGCTTGCTGCTTTGAGCGTGTTGCCATTCACCTGTGAACTGCTAGAAAGGACATGCTCTGTAAACCCATCTCAGTCAGACTCCGGACCCCTTTGAGAATCTATTTTCTGAAAGTGAGCACACACCCAATCCCAGGGAGTCATCAGCTCCTGAGACCCATCTGTGAGCTCCCTGGTTCATGCCATAGGAGAACAAAATAGGCATCCAAGAGGCCCTCTCGTGCTAGTTTTAGAAAGCTTGAAATACCACTAGCCTCCCCAGATCCCCTCACATTCTTGGTTCCTGAGTTGTGCACCTTATGTAAAGAGTGTCTTCTTTCCTAATTACTAAAGTCAGCCTTCCTTTTACTGTTTAAAGGAAAAGTTGGATTATGACTTTTCCAAATGTATCCACTATACCTGGGAACCCAAGATGGTTCTCTTTATTAACAGAGAAGAAATTTGTCTGTACTAGAACTACTTGCTTTATTGATTCAAAAGACAGAATGATTGCTTATTAGTGCTTTCACGTGATTTGATCATTTTAAGGCTATTTTACTTAGCTTAAAAGAACCTCTTTAAATTTTTGAAAAAAAATTTGGGGCCTGGCGTGGTGGCACAAGTGGTTAAGGTCCTCGCCTTGCACGCCCGGGATCCCATATGGGCGCCGGTTCTATCCCGGCAGCCCTGCTTCCCTTCCAGCTCCCTGCCTGTGGCCCAGGAAAGCAGTCGAGGATGGCCCAAAGTTTTGGGACCCTGCACCCGCGTGGGAGACCCAGAAGAGGCTCCTGGCTTTGGATCGGCATAGTATCGGCCGTTGCGCTCACTTGGGGAGTGAATCATTGGACGGAAGATCTTCCTCTCTGTCTCTCCTCTCTGTATATCTGCCTTTCCAATACAAAAATAATAAAAAAATTTATTTGAAAGAGAGAGAGATCTTCCATCTGGCTATAATGGGAGTTGTGAAACCATGAGCCAGAAGCTTCCTCTGGGTCTCCCATGTGGGTAGCAGAGGCCCAAACACTTGAGCTATCTTTCTCTTCTTTTTCTAGCCACTTTAGCAGGGAACTGGATCAGCAGTGGAGCAGCCAGGCTACAAACCAGTGCCCATATGGGATACCAGTGGTTTAGGCAGCAGCTTAGCACACTACATGACTCTGGTCCCTAAAAGAGCCTCTTGAGTAAAAATGATGAGACTGTCGGTAATAAATATGTTCTCTTTTCAGGTGTGTAGCTTGGAGTTTGACAGAAAAGACATAAGCATGAATAAGTTAGTAGCTACATCTCTGGAAGGAAAATTCCATGTTTTTGACATGAGAACACAGCATCCGACCAAAGGTTTCGCCTCTGTTTCAGAAAAGGTAAATATGAAGGGAATGTCTTTCTATGAAGAGGAGTGATAACTTGCTTTAGATGAATAAATAGAATTAGTCATCAAAGTTCCTTCCAGGTCTTTATGTGAAGAAATCTATTTTTGATACATTCTTGTGGGATCTTGACAAGTTTTCTGTGCAAAGAATACTTTCCCAAAGTTTATCAACTTCAGGCTTCTTCACTTGAATAAGGATCTTGCTTTAGCTAGGATCTTTAATTTTTCATTTTAGGAGCAAACATAAAAACCCTAGCTGGGGCCCGGCATGGTGACACAAGTGGTTAAGGTCCTCACCTTGCTCGCCCGGGATCCCATATGGGCGCCCGTTCTATCCCGGCAGCCCTGCTTCCCTTCCAGCTCCCTGCCTGTGGCCCAGGAAAGCAGTCGAGGATGGCCCAAAGCTTTGGGACCCTGCACCCACGTGGGAGACCCAGAAGAGGCTCCTGGCTTTGGATCGGCATAGTATCGGCCGTTGCGCTCACTTGGGGAGTGAATCATCGCACGAAAGACCTTCCTCTCGGTCTCTCCTCTTTGTATATCTGCCTTTCCAATAAAAAATAAAATAAATCTTTTAAAAAAAAAACCCTAGCTGATATGAGAAATTTGATAGCAAGACCCAGCCTTGGTGTTTTCTAATAAATGGTTCTATATTATTCAAGATGGATGAGCACAATCTATGTTAAGTCAATCTCACCCCTTTTATTTTTTGTATTTTGCTGTGTAAGTAAAACTATTTACAGTGCTCATTACTGTGATTGGTTGGCACATAGCAGATGCTCAAAATATTTCTAATACTGTTTTAAATAGCATTTGAGGTAGTTTATGGGAAAACATGATATTGCAGTATTGGAAAAACAGGTGAGGAAATCAGAACTAATTGGAAATACCAGTAAAAACCAAGATGACAGTAAGGGGATCACATAAAATTAATGCTGAACTTTCCTGCAATTTGCAAGAAATGAGCTGGAACTGTGACTTGAGGTCAGTTATAGATTGGTAGTTTCTGTAAGAACCACATAAGAGCTTAAGAAGTGAGTGTTTACTCAATTGCTCCTTCTCCTGCCACCTTAGTTTAATAGGAGTTCTCAGATTTTCCTATTTTATCTTGTCATTGGGTGTAAATTACCACTGCAGCCTGATGAACTAAATTCAAACCAAGTTAGTTATTAATTATAAACCTGTTTTGCCTTTTTCAGCTCAGAATATGTTAACTGTTGGTACAGTACTTCACTAAGTTGTGGTCAATATACAGTTTATATCATGTGTGTAATAGTATCCTCTGTAATAGTGTAAAATTTTATTGTTCTAGTTAATCCAATAATTACTAAATCTGTCTATAAATGACTCTTAGTATTCCATCCCTCCCTCTGTCTTATTTTTCAAATTCCTCCATGTTGACATGGCATTGCTGCGATGGATTTACTGGCTATTGTTGAGGTATTGCCTGAACTACTACCCATGTGGGAGACCCAGGCTGAGTTCTAAGCTTCCTGGCTTTGAACTGGTCCAGTTGCACTGTTGCACATATTCTGAGAGTTAACCAGTATAGAGGTCTCTCTCTCTCTCTGCTCCTCTCCCTCTCTCCATCACCCCTACATTTGCCTTTTAAAAGCAAATAAAAATGAAAAACTTTAAAACATCTCATCTATACGTTTTCCTTAAGAATTTTTTTGTTTTGAGTATTTCTTTCCCTTAGCCTGAACTATAAATATTGAAATGTGTGAAACCTATCCTTATAATTTATGTGGTATCATAAACTTCAGTAGACTTATCATTTTGTTTTAATCCAGTAGCACTTGGTTTCATAAAGCAGTAAAGAAAAATAATGCTGTTTCTATAGTTTTTGGTGGGCTGCTATAAATCTGTGTAGCCAGTATAAGAGACTAAAAGAAGAGTAAGATTCATTATTTGTGTAGCAGTTGAAGGTATAGTGGTAAAAATGCTTTCTTTCCAGGGCCTCTCTTCCAAGCACTATCCAGCACCTAAACCAGTGTGTCCCTCTTGTCCTGTGCAGGCCCACAAATCGACGGTGTGGCAGGTACGACACCTGCCACAGAACAGGGAGCTCTTCCTGACCGCGGGAGGTGCTGGCGGCCTTCACCTCTGGAAGTAGTAAGTCCCTGCCCGGGCGCCCCACTCCCTCTTCCATTTCTTGTGGGTGTGAAGTAGGATTGGATTGAACTTTTTGTCTTGTTTTTCCTCCTTTGACTTAGTTCATTTTAGTAGGATTTCAAATTTTAAGATGTTACATAACTATTGCTTTATAACTTTTTTTTTTTGCTTTACTCAAGACTTTATTTCATGCTTAGTAAATATTAACCTTCCTCTGACAAACTAAATATGTTTGTCATTACAGTGTGTCTTCGGTATTTCATAACAGCTTAGGAACAGTTCTTTTCATAGATTTGAAATCATAATCTTTGACAATGTGACAAAATTCAAACAAAGATTTTTCTCAAATATCACCTTCTAGCTATAGAACATTACTTTAAGAAGTTAGGAGAAAGATTGGTACACTTAGGTTCAGCTACTGCTAATTCCCTTGGCTACATTCAGACAACACAATTGTCATAGAACCAAAACAACCAGAGAGGTTCCTGGTTGGTGTCCAATATGGACTTTCTCATTGAGCTTGCTCTCTGCATGCAGGGCTGTTCCCGTGCCCTGTGCCCTGATCACTGAGGGTCATAACGCGGGAGGTACCAGGTCAGCCACTCATTTTAAAACTTTAGCAAAAAATTGGAAGTTAATGATATTTCTGAGTACTGTTATTACTGAAGCAGGATATGCTTGAAAAGGGAAAAACAAAACGAAAGAAAAGCAGAAGTCTTACAAATGAAGGAATTTTCATGAATAAAGTGTGGATAATGATGTTAGAAGCAAAAGAAGCACCCTTAGTTTGTCTGGGGCTTTTACAGTTATAGAATCCTCTATTTATTAGCTTCCTTTGGAGCCAGAAAAGGTTCTAAAACATGCTTGGAAAGACCTTGTTATTTAGGAGTCTGACAAAAACAAACAAACAAAGCAAAACAACTTGAGAGTGACTGAGCGATGAGGCTTTGTGTGATCCTCTGTTTCCAGGCCCCTCTGCCAGCTTCCTTCCCAAATTCTTTCACTCTTTGTCTATCCCATGTCAGGCTCTGCCAATGCCCTTAGGTAAGCCAGGCAGTGGCATGCCACTGTTTTTACAAAGTTAGCTTGAGTACTTGAAAAACTAGTTCCGGTTGTCTTTGTAACCCATACATAGACACATTTGCAACCAGAATAATGGATTTAGTTATCTCAATAAAATGGATTTGTATGCAATTAAAAATGAGAAGTTTGTCTCAGCACACGCTTTAATCCTTCCTGTGATGGATGTCCAGTTCTGACCTTCACATTTGCTGAATGTTTTGTTTACAAGGGTTGGGGCAGACAAGGCAACTGGTTTGGTTTTCACTTATTAGCCCATCTTGCAGTTACAGAATTAAATCATGAATATTTACTGAACACTGTTGAGAGTCCTTAGAGGAATTTATGAGGTTAGCATTTGTTTTTTTGAATGAACAGACCCCCAACATGCTGACTGTTCTATCAAGCAATGCATGCTTGATACCTTTACTCTCATGGACAACCCGAAAGAGTTCAAATCTACAGATAGAAGGAGAAACAGAGAAAAAGATCTTCCATCATTGAGCTGTTCTCCAAGTGGCCGCAGTGGCCAGAGATGGGCCAATCCAAAGCCAGGAGCCAGGAGCTTCTTCCAGGTCTCCCACATAGGTGCCGGGGCCCACGGCTTTGGGCCGTCCTCCACACTGCTTTCCCTCAAGCAGGGAGCCAGATGGGAAGCAGAACCTTCTGCCGGGATTAGAACCAGTGCCTGCCGGGGATCCCAGCGCATGCAAGGCAAGGACTTTAACCACTAGGCAGTCATGCCAGGCTCCTGAAAGAGTTTTAAGAAGTTTTTGTTACTTTATAAAGACTAAATAACCTCAGCCATTGCCAAGAGGGATGTGTAGGTAAACTTTCAATCAAAATAATTTGTAGGCTCTATCAGGATGAGTATCTGATTCTATATTATTTGCTTATTTCTTATTTTCCCACTTTTACTTTTCCTCTCATTTGCTTTGTGCCTCCTAAACTCTTATCCTTTATTGGAACTCTTATCCTTTTGTGGAACAAAGGGGATGTCATAACTGATACCTAAGATGCTTGGAAAGGGCTTCGGAAAAGGCCTTTCTGCAGATGGCCTGACAAAATTGATCCCTGTCACTAACAAGCTGGGCAGAAGATTCTAGGTAGAAGAAATTGCAGTTCTCGTTGAACAGCATGAATCTTCTTAGATGTATAAAGATAGATCCAGATCTGTATTATGGCAGTGTACGATGCCACCTGAAGAAACTCCAGCAGCACTCAGGCCTGTGGACATTGTGCTAGAGATGTGATCCCTATTAAACTTCTCAGTAAAACTAGAGACATGTTGGGGAGTCCAGATTTTAGTACAGTTTTTCATACTTGTTCAATGCGAGTTTTTACTAGACTTCAAAACAACATGGTTGAATTCTTTGGACCTACTAGAATGGGATTTGCCACATGGTAACTCCATGAATGGTCTTCCTGGTGTCATCCTGCCATTAGCTAAGATAATTCCAGTAGTAAATGAGAGAACTGTTCAGTCTGCAGTGAAACTCCTACTTATTTTGCTCAAGATCCTTTCATAATGGAGCAACTGAAAGACTTAAAATACCCCTGAACAACTGGATAAATGATTTTTCCTTTAAGAAAAATGACAATGGAATTCATCTGTTTTTAAATATACAGAGGAGCCGGTGCGATAGCCTAGCAACTAAAGTCCTCGCCTTGCACGCCCGGGATCCCATATGGGCACCGGTTCTAAAATCGGCAGCCCTGCTTCCCATCCAGCTCCCTGCTTGTGGCTTGGGAAAGCAGTTGATGATGGCCCAAAGCCTTGGGACCCTGTACCTGTGTGGGAGATCTGAAAGGGGCTCCTGGCTCCTGGCTTTGGATCAACTCAGCTCCATCCATTGCGGCCACTTGAGGAGTGAATCAGCGGGTGGAAAATCTTCCTCTCTGTCTCTCCTCCTTTTTGTATATCTGACTTTGTAACAAAATTAAAATAAATCTTTAAAAATATATATGCACTGAATAAATCAGCTACAGATAGAATGACAGTTTGTTACCAAAATAACTAACAAAAGTATTTTCTTAGTAATAATAATAGACAGGAGACAGCCTTGTCTTCTCTCTGCCCTCTCAAGTCAGTCTGACCAGGTCATGTTCATGAATTGTTACACTTGAGCCCTTCTTACTTTATAAATATAAAATTTCAGCTGAAAAATAATAAAATATAAATATTCTCAATCGTTTGTTTCTTCGTTGACTCAGTGACGTTTAAAAAGTCTATAGTCTGGGCCCAGCACAATGGCCTAATAGTTAAATTCTTGCCTTGCATCTGCTGGGATCCCCTATGGGTGCTGGTTTGTGTGTCCTGGCTGCTTCACTTCCATCCAGCTCCCTGCTTGTGGCCTGGGAGAGGGAGGATGGCCCAAAGCCTTGGGACCCTGCCCCTGCGTGGGAGACCCGGAGAAGGCTCCTACCTTCAGATTGGCTCAACTCCAACCGTTACAGCTACTTGGCGAGTGAGCCAGCAGAGGGAGGATCTTCCTTTCTCAGCTGCTCTGTGTAAATCTGCCTTTCCAGTAAAAAATAACTAAATCTTAAAAAAAAAAAAAAAAAAACAAAAAACAAAACGGGGGCGGTGGGGGTCTGCAGTCTATGCTCAGCAGCACTTTCTTGTACAATGGAGTTGTGGGAGTTTTTATTGTAGTTAGATAAGGCTCTGTAGATGTCAGTACAGCTCCTGCCTTTACACGCACCATCTGCCTGTGCTGTACAGCAGTCCCAATCCAGAGAAGTACAATAGAAGATTACTAAGAACAGCAGGTAAATTTGTTTAAAAATACACTAGATTAAATTCACATTCTGATAGTTCCTAATTTAAAAAGGAAACATAGGTATATGTGCTGAACAGAAACAATGTTTACAAGATTTTAGCAGAACTAACCCTTCTTTGTGAGGTGTTTTGTATTGGATTGAGGTTGAAATAGCATTTTATTTGTATGTAACTCATCATTTTAAAGAAATTATTTATTAGTTCCAGTAGCCAACTTAGAAGTCAGAGCAGTCTACGGCCATACCACCCTGAATGTACCCGATCTCATCTGATCCCGGAAGCTAAGCAGGGTGGGCCTGGTTAGTACTTGGATGTGAGAAGTCAGAGCAGTGTCCTTTGAGTGTATGTGTCAAGGTACAGTGTGGACGCTAGGATTTGTCTCCCCTGACCAAGTTGGATCTTGTTTCCAGCGAATACCCTGTTCACCGGTCGAAGAAAGATTCCGAGGGAGTGGAGATGGGAGTTGCGGGCTCCGTGAGCCTTCTGCAGAACGTGACGTTGTCGACCCAGCCCATCTCCAGCCTAGACTGGAGTCCGGATAAAAGGGGCCTCTGCGTCTGTAGTTCATTTGACCAAATGGTGAGAGTATTGATTGTTACAAAGCTCAACACACTCTGAAGACTCTGGACTGGAAGCCCTCTGAGGGACACACACAGTGTAACACATGCTGGGAGCCCCTGAGCCTCAGCAGCCAGGTTTGGGCTTGGCTGATGAGCAGAGGCCCCAGATGCAAACCTCTGGCAGGCCATCCCCCAGCCGGACCCTAGGGGTGTCATGACTGAGTGGCACACTGGCTTGCCACTGTGCACAGAGATGCCACCCTCCCTCGGTTTCCAATATAAAGTCAGTAATTCTCAGTATTTTCATGTGCTTTAAGTTTGTTCTGCATTCCAAACTTCCATATTCTATCTTCACATGGGTGGTGTGTCGGTTTGACAATATGATGTTCAGAGTTTCTGCATTTGGTTCTCTAAGTTTGTCTTAGGAAGAAAACTATTGTGCATTAACGTCATAAATGCATTTAAGAGATTTCAGCCTCAGTATGCTTCCATTGCAGAAATTATCAAACTGAGTTTGGGTAACTGTGTTCAGCAGTGTAATTCAAAATGAAACATTTATAAGGGCCGGTTTTTTTCTTGGTGTGTTTTGCCTTTTTTTTTTTTTTTGCCTAACATACAGGAGTTAAGTCAGTGGGAATTTTGGTAAGACTGTTATATCAGATGGTAAGATGTTCAAGGTTTTAGGAGTTTTGTAGGCTTATTTTTGTCCAGTCCTCTTTAATATATTTTACAATGATAAATTTGTGTTTCTGAAAGCAATGGAAGTTTTGATTCTTCTGGTGGTTAATAAAATCTATGCCATCCCTGGTACTTGCTTTATAAATGCTGAATAAGTCACTGAATGCACAGCTGAGCCTTTGAAGGCCTGGGTCGCAGTACACCTTTTTTTTTTTTTTTAATTTATTTTATTTTTATTGGAAAGGCAGATATACAGAGAGGAGAGACAGAGAGGAAGATCTTCCATCCCATGATTCACTCCCCAAGTGAGCGCAATGGTCGATGCTATGCCGATCCGAAGCCTGGAGCCAGGAGCCTCTTCCAGGTCTCCCACGCGGGTGCAGGGTCCCAGAGCTTTGGGCCGTCCTCGACTGCTTTCCCGGGCTACAGGCAGGGAGCTGGATGGGAAGGGGGCCGCCGGGATTAGAACCGGCGCCCATATGGGATCCCAGGCATGCAAGGCGAGGACCTTAATCACTTGTGCCACCGCGCCGGGCCCCGCAGTACACCTTTGAAGCTTGCTCTCCCACCTCCGCTCGCAAGGATAGAACACCTTAACTTTTCTCATCTGCAAAATTCGTGTAATGTCAGGGGGTCGAGGAGAGCTGTGTGAGCCGTTCAGTTTGGAAAATGAATGTTTCCCCAAAATATGTTCTACAACAATCCTGCCTATGTTATCAGAAAGGTAAAACTTAAACTTAAGAAACACCTTTTCCTGATAAGCATTTTGTTTTGTTTTGTTTGTTTTGTTTTCAGTGTTCAAAGAAACACAGGGAAATGTGAGAGAATGGCTTTGATCACTTTCATTTGGTAGTAGGGAGAGATAGAAGTCAATCAAAATAAATACCTTTATTAGAACTCAGTTGCCATTGCTTATCTGCTGCCACTGAAGAAGAAAAATCCTACTGGTGAAATGGTGTTTTCTCATCATGTAGTGTTTGTTTTCTATCAATTGAGTGTTCTTTTGACTATATTTAGAAGCTGTTTTTTTTTTTTTCATTATGTACCACTATTGTGCATTCCTTAAAAAAGGAAAAATATACAAAATGACTTCGATATGATACTCCTCCAATTTGTTCGTTTCCGCTTAATCCTTGTGCCTCACCTTTTGAAATCTGAGTCACCAGTGCCCAAGTTCTCCTTTATGTTATTTTCCTTCGTGCATGAAAAAATAATGGTGTTGCAGTATTTCTTTACTACCTTGAGGGAGATCTTTCAGCGAACTGGCACTTACAGATTTTGTCGTGTACCGGTAGGCAGCGACAACGGGCATGACTGCTTCCTGGCTGAACCTTGCTCATTTCCGTTGTCATTTGCTGTCTAACAAGTCATTCCAGAACCTCCTGTCTTACAATGACAGTGGGATGACCTTTGGGCAGGGCTCTTCATTGAAGGCTCCTCTGGGTGCACACAGCCCCAGGCCTGGAGCTCTACTTTAAGGATGGCAGGTCGGCCTCCATGGTGACGTTCAAGCACATGACTTGCAGGTTGTTATTGACTGTCGGCTGGACCTCAGACAGACCCGAGAACCTGGGGCCTCACCATATGGTCTGGGCTTCCGTAGAGCATCGTGGCTGGGTTCCCAGGGTACACATCCCGGGCGGAAGCTATCTTGGTTTTAAATGGCCTAGTTTTATGATTTACTTAGTATTTTTTTTATCATATTCTTTCAGTTGAAGCACCCACAATCTCAATCCTACCTCCTCAGTTCAATGGAAGAGGACATAAATTTCAATTATTTTTCAAATTTTTCAATTTGATTTGTTAGTGTTTTGCTTAAAGTCAGAGAGATGGGTGCAGTCCTGTGGCATAGCAGGTATATGGGCTCTGGTTTCAGTCCTGGCTGCTGCACTCTCGATCCAGCTCGCTGCTACTGATGCACCTGGCCCAAGTCCCTGGGGTGCCGCCCTCATGTGAGAGTCCCAGAGAAGCTGCAGGCTCCTGATTCCTGCCTGGCACAGTCCTGGCCATTGAAATCCAGAAAGAGATCTTTCATTTCCCGATTCATTCTCTAAATGCTCCCAACAGCCAAGGCTGAGATGAACTAGTGCCAGGATCTGGGGACTCAGCCTGGGTCTGTCACATGGCTGTCAGGGAACCCAAGAACCTACTGGGACCATCACCTAGTGCCTACCAGTGGGGAGAAACAGAGGAGCTGGGACTCAGCCCTGACACAGAAGGCTTCCCCAGACCCCACTTCATGGAAGCTCGCTCTGTTCTGCCTTCCTGTGAGGGTACAATTAGACATATGCCGTGGCAGGGTGTGGAATAGTTCTTCCAGGCCTGAGGGAAGCCTTACAGAACTCAACTCGGACCATGAGGCTCCCGGATGTTGGGCCTGTTTTTACTGTGGGTTTGCTTGCCTTCTTCAGCATTACCCGAGGGTACTTTGCTAGGTGTGGTGATCAGTTAGGGAGTGTTGGAAAGGATCCCTGCATTGTGGGGTCTTCCAAGCATATCCTACATTGTGAAGAAGATGTTTTTCCTCCTTTGGTGACTAGTCTGTCCCCCAAAGCAGGTGAAGCCTACAGACTTTGGATATAAGGCTGGTTTGTGCCATCTGATTATTTTACAACCTGCATTCGAATCTGTGACAAGTTTGAAAAACAAGTGGGTAGGTTGCAGTTAGAAATCATGTTTTTTTTTCTAAACAACAACAAGCAAAAAAACAAACAACAAGCAAAAACAAAGAAAGTTTGATTGTTTTTATTCCAGAAGCCCCCTTCCCCAATCCCTGATTGGCCGTTACTGTGCTGTGCAGCACTCCCCACCACTCCCTTCATCATTCTGGATGGAACTGGTTTGCCAGGCCGCTGTTTACACAGAACTCAAGCTAAGCTGTACTCAGCAATGACGTCGCAGCTGGGGCTCTACTGCTGCTGCTCCCCTGAAAGAGCCGGCAGCCCTGGGCCCAAGCTGCTCTCTCAACTGACTTAGACTTGCTGACAGAAATCTAGTTCCTTGTCCTGCTGAGGACACCAGGATACTAGGAAATGGCCCCCACTCCCTGAACTCAGCCTGGAATAGAGAGAAATCCTTTGGCTAGAGGATGACCCCACCATCTTCTCCCCTGGGTCTAGAATGAATGAGCGGCAACATGAACACTTTTGCTTCATCTCGGGAATCTGTCACTGTGCAGGGACTCCAGGGAAAAGAGCCTGCTTTGTTGATTCATCAGAGGGAACAGGGGCAGACTGTCCCCTCGCTGCACCATGGTCATGAGCACAGGGGTTCTGGGTGTTTCTCATCAGACATCAAATTTGAATGAACAAACAGGAATTTGACCTTGTGTTCTTAAATCATAAAGAGTTTCAGGGTAAACACAACCTCCTCTCTTAGGGAAGACGTAGAAGTAACCACAGCTACATCTTTGACCAAATACAGCAGCATTTATACAGAAGTGCTGGAGCAGGGTTCACCCAGAGTTCCTCTGGGATCGAACTTAGTTATGGTGTGTTCCAACACTTAGACTTCCAACTTAAAACCAGGCCACTGGCAATGGCTTTCTCACAACATTTGATAAATATTAATTGATCGTTTTTCAAAAAAGTGAAATAACAAAAAGTACAGTATCTAGGGGGAAAAACCCGTCTTGTTTGCTTACCTTTCTTTCTTTCTTTTTTTAGACAGAGAAGTTTATTTGAGAGGTGTCCAGCTGAATGAGAAGAGGGAAGGAAAAGCGCCTCCTGAGAAAGGCGGGAGGTAGGGTGCCTCTTGCAAGGGGAGAGGGAGAGACACAATGGCCTGCTTTTTTCAGGGCTTCTCTGTTAGGATCAGTTTCAGCTGGACATAACTAAAAATCCAGTATATTGGGTTTTTATGCTTTCACCCATTGGCTGAGGCATCAGTCCATACCCATCATAGTGAAACTGAGAAAGGCAGACTTTTTTTTTTTTTCTATACAGTGAGATACTTGGCTAACACGCAGACAATCTGGGATACTGGGGACAGCTGTCGTGGATGGTAGGAGAAGAAAGTGAATTCTGGCCAGTGAGACTGGACAAACATGGCTCAAAGGCTGTGTTCTCCAGATGAATGCGAGGCTGAGCAGTGCTCCTAGGCTGCAGCTGGGTGCCCCACAGCTCTCACTGGAGCCCACCACAGGGAGCTGCTCCGGCTCCTGGGCCAAACACTGCGCAGTGGAGTCCGTTGTTCTGCCTTCCCTGGGAGTCAGTTTTATTATCCTGGATGTACCTGCTACGCAAACAGAATTCCTTCTGAAAGCTCAAACTGGTTTTCTCTCCTGAATTCCTTTTCTGGGAGATTTATTTTTAATAACAATACTTTTAAATCCCAAATACTGGTTCCAAAGACACGTAAAGGAATGCTTAACCTCATACATTCCCACCCACTCAGCAAAGAAAGGATACCTGTGGCTCTGCGGGCACTGCCTTCAGTCTGAAAGCTCTGCTTTGATGTAAATGGATGCAGTTTATATTTCTATGGGAAAAATAATCTTGTACACACGTGTCAGCACAAAGTGATTGCATCCTTTTTCTGCTTGAGAACAGCCAAACATGTGTGGCAAGCTCTTAGGGCTCCTGAGAAAGGAAATTCAGTGAAGGCCGAGCCCTGCCAGATCTCCCCCAGCAATGCTGAGCAGGGACCAACGTGCTCCTTCCAGACCTGTACACTGGGAGTCCCAGGCTGCCATCCTATAAAGACCCGGTGCTGCACTGTCCCCTTGTGGGCAATGTAGGCACTGCAGGCCTTTCACCAGAGAAGAAAATGGATTTGCCTTTCAAAAAACGACTGGATAAATCCACAGGTTGAATCTTAGCAAATCATAAATCATCCTGGACCTTTAGAAAGACATTATTGGATGAAAACTTCTGAAAGTTCTAATGCATGTGGGGGGGGGGAATCACATTGCATATGGTCAGACTGCATGCTTCTATGCAATAGGTTTCTTAGCTAAAGACTATCAAAATGTATTATAGATTCAGTTTTATTTTTGAAACTAGGATAGCTTTCTTCTAAGACAACAAAGGTTAAAATTTTATATAATTAAAAATTTTTTTTTTATTATCCACTGGTTTAGTCCCCAAAGGCCTGGGGAGTAAAGACTAGAGTGGACTGGGAGTCCAAAATTGGACTGCATAG